TTTCAGGGGGCTGGGGCAAAGGGTTGGGGTGTGGAATGGGGAGATGAGGGCTCTGGCTGGAGGTGCGGGCTATGGGGTGGGGCCGGGGAGGACGGGTTTAGGATGCAGGAAGGTGCTCCAGGCTGGAGCCAAGGGGTTTGGAGTGTGGGAGGGGATTGTGAGCTGGGGCAGGGTGTGAGCTCCAGGAGGGAATTTGGGTGTGGAAGGGAGCTCAGGGCTGGGGCAGGGGCTTGGGATGCGGGAGGGGGTGCGGGCTCCAGGCGGCGCTGATCTCAGGCAGCTCCCTTCAACTCACGGAAGTGTGGCCAGGAGGCTCTGAGAGCGCTGCCCCCGTCTGCAGGTGCCGCCCCTACAGCTCCCATTGGCCGCGGTTCCCGGCCAATAGGAGATGCGGAGCCGGCGCTCGGGGTGGGGGCAGCATGCACGGAGCCCCCTTGGCCGTGCCTCCACCTAGGAGCCGGAGGGACATGCCGGTGGCTTCCGGGAGCTGCGTGGAGCTGGGTAGGGAGCCAGCCATCCCTGCACCAACTGGACTTTTAACAGTTCAGTCAGCGGTAGTGACCGGAGCCGTCAGAGACCTTTTTCGACTGGGCATTCCGGTCAAAAACCGGACACCTGGCAACCCTACTTAGTGGTCCCTTTACCAAGTCTTCCCTGAGATCTGTGGTCCTCAGCATCTCGCAGGATCGGTCCCCAGTGAGCCAGCAATTTTTTTTAAACCCCAAGACGGCCGATTGTCAGCCAGGGGATTCCCTTGTAACAAAAGAGAACATGACAGTCACCTTTTCCTTGTTCCCGCTGAAGCTCTGGTGTTGCTGGCCTGGCATGAAATGCTGAGCACCGGCACCTCTAGGCTCGGCAGTTCAGCGCCCCGGCACCTGTGGGTTTGCTGCATCAGGGATGAATGTACAAAAAATTGCTTGAGCCCCAGCACCTCGTTCATAACCAATTAAGCACTGAATATCAGAGCAGCAAAAGCCTATGAACATTGCATTGACTCATGCTGCATCTGCCGGGGTACGAAGGGAGGGATTGGAAGGGTCAAAAGCTACCAGATTGGGAGTTGGTACCCAATAGAAAGGGTGACGTTAAAAATATGTGACTAATAGGATCATGATTCCGTAGGGCCATTCAGCCTAGAGTGCTTTCCGCCCAGGAATCACTTCCACGGGAATGCAGCCACCTCGGGGGTGGAACGCAGCAGCTAGCAGCGCACAGGAACGCTGTGCCAAACTTCAGGACAGAGCAAGACAAGTGCCTTGGTGCTTATAGCAGCTTCATGCTAGGGACTGAAGCTATGAATGAGAAGGGACCCCCACCTGCAAACCTTTAAAACATTATAGTTAAAAATACCCTCTAGGCTGTTCTCACTCCAAAGTGGGTTTGTGTGGCAAATACTGATTTCTATTTGAGTTCCTGCACGCGGAGAGGGAAAAGATGGTCTCGGGGTGAACCAGGGGAGTAGGGTACAGAAGACCTGGCTTCAGCCCTTTTGCTGTGCCATCGACTCACCGGATGATGCTGGGGAAGTCGCTGCATCTCGGTGCTCCGCAATTCCCCATCTGTAAAATGGGGATCATGTAAGTTTCTTCGACTGTTGATCGCAAGCTTTGGAAACGGTCTCCTATGGTATGTGTATGTACAGCACCTAGCACAACAGCGCCCTGATCTCGGTGGAGACTTAGTGACACCATAAGCTGCTCAGATACCTTGTGATAGGAAGTATAAGAACCCGCGGCGAATAGTAATAAAAATATAGGACTAAAATGGTGCTTTTCTCCCCATAAGACACTTTGGGACAGTTGTTTTCCTCCTTAATCTTTGATATCTCAGGGATCCATTTTCCCTGCAGAATATATCCCAGCCCTTTAGTCCTTAACGAGCACAAGGGCCTTGGACAGGGCTGAAGATGCTCAGTGCAGAGCTCACAAAGTTGGTTTGAAACCCCCAGGCTACAATGTTTCCTACCAAGGAGTCTGCAGTGTACCAAAGTGCAGAGCTGAGCGTGCAGCTGGAAGGCCGGACATGGGGTGTAAGGGGAAGGCACCACCAGGTGGCGCTGTGATGCATGGTCTTCCAAGTTCATTGTTCTTGGTGCGCAAGCAAGGTTTTAGTCTTGGGATTTGAATTTTCCAAACGGCAGGTGTTTAAAGTCTCAACTAGGATGGTGCATTAAGTTGGCTTTTGTTACGACTCCATTGCATTCACCTGTGTTGCATACATACGCATAGGGTGAGTTGGTAGTGCACCCTATATTTACGTTGTCTAACGTTTTCCATTATAATGGCTTCTTGCTATGTTTTCTTTGAGAAGCTCATTGTTTGCAATACACCTTTGCTACTCAGCAGGGTGAATGACCTCAGGCCAGGGAAAAGTTGGCAGCCTGGCAAAATAACAACATTCTCAGGCCAGGTTCATGCTGTACGGAGACCTCCTGGGAGCTGCAGCATGGCCTTCTCTGGGGGCAGCCCATTGGGCAGGAAGCAGGCCAGCCTCCCCGGTAAACGTCTTCTCCACATCTAGCATGTGACCCCAGCTCTCCCAAGCATGAGGTGAGTGCTCTAACCACTGGACCATCCTTCCTTATCAGAAATGCAACGTCTCCTACCACCCCAGCACACTCTGGCTTGATTTAAGGCAGATTTGGGAGGAAAGATGCCCCCTTCCTCCGGAGGACGCCAACACTTTGAACTGGCCAAACCTTGCTTGGCTGGTGGGATCTGGCAATATCATGCCCCTAGGCAGTGCTGCGAGGAACCCAGGGCCTGCTCCCACCCAGACTGCAGGGGCAGAGCCCAGGCCTGGCAGGGCAAAGACAGACCCACCATTAGTCGAGAGGCCTCACTGCTCAGTGACACTGCATTAGCTCTTAGTTCCAGCGAGGGACTCTCCCGCCTATGCCATCTGCCCGGGGCTGGCTCCAGGGTTTTGGCTGCCCCAAGCAGCCAAAAAAAAAAAAAGCCGCGATCGCGATCTGTGGCGGCAATTCGGCGGAAGATCCTTCGCTCCAAGCGGGAGTGAGGGACCGTCTGCCGAATTGCCGCCGAATAGCTGGACGTGCCGCCCCTCCCCCAAGCAGCCACCCCAAGTACATGCTTGCGAAGCTGGTGCCTGGAGCCGGCCCTGCATCTGCTTCCCTTCCCGGGTGCTGCCCACAGATCACTGGCCGCCTCTCACCCTGGTGGGGTCCCTGCCCTGGGCCTGTTTAACCCCGCTATGGTGTCAAACCAGGAAGATCTGTAGCGAGGAACTTGTGGGATGGCAGGTTGGGTCAGGGGGAAGCCTGTGGCCATCCGGATGGTGGAACAACCTGACACAAAGGGTGGGGGGGAGGCGCCCTACTGTAGCAAAGACTCTGGCGTCTGCAACGTGACTAGACAGTTCTCTAGAGTGCAGCCTGCAGCCAGGGCACTGGGGCCAGCCTGACAGACGGGTCTGATGGGCCAGTGCTCTCCAGCCCTAGCCCTTCCTACACGTGAGCAGATTGTAACTTGCCTCACTATTGCTTGTTAGCTCCTCGGTGTCTGGGTGTCGTCTGCACGTGCAGCGCCTGGCGCAGCGGGGCCCCACGCTGGGCCCCCACGTGCTACAGCACCACAAACGTCACACAAAAGCCCGTGCCCTTTTGCCCCGGTCACTGAGTCCCGTCACCGCGGGGCACCCCCTGCCGACGGCCGCTGAAGCGCTGTGCTGGTTTCCCACCCGGGGGCACCATCCTAAGGCAGTTTCTTTGGGGGTCACCAACTAAAAAGTCCCCGGAAATGTCTGAACGCAAACCAGACCCTTCTGCTCTCTCTGGGGCTGTCGTCTTCGAGGTTCAGCCTGCAGCCCCCTTTGCTGGGGCTGGTAGGGAAACCCAGCTCCCCCCTCATCGCTGGGCAATGTGGCCCTGCCCTGGACAGCTAGCTCCGCCCCTTTACTGGGGCTGCAGTTTTACCTGGGCTATGGGGCTTCTTGCTGTCCCTTTGGGTCTCCCGGTCTCTCCCGTTTAGTCAGGGTCTCTCCGGTCCCAGGCCCCGTCCCTGCTCTCAGCTGCCCTAACTCGCCATCCAGCTCTGTCCCCAGCTGCCCTGCATCAGGGCTTTAGCCTGGCTCTTTTTGGGCAAGTCCCTGATTCCCCTCAGGTGCGGCTCGTTCTGTGATGAGGCTGGCTTAGCCCAGGCACCCCAGCCTAAGGGGCAAACCCCCGTGTTCCCCTCCACCCCATCACTCTATTTCTGTCCAGCTGTTCCGCCTTGTTATAAACTTTGATTGGGAACTCTCTGGGGCAGCTACCTAGTGGGCACTAGTGCAAAGGGGCCCCGAGCCCGCCTGGGGAGCCCCCACCCTCGCCAGCCCCAAGCGTTTGGAAAATCCCGGGCGCGGCTTAATAGTCCTGAGACTTTTAAAAGTAATCATTTGGGGGGGCTGTTCCTGTGCCTTTCAAACCTTCCTCTGCACACACAAGGGCGAGCAGCTTTGTTAAAAAAATGAAATCTCCGGTCATCCCATGACTCTAGAAGCTGGGGCTTTAATAAAACACTTTGATGATCATGGCCACGTCTGTGCAGTGCCTAGCACAGTGGGGCTCTGATCTGTGACCGTGACTCCTAGGTTCTCGGAGATTTCGTAAGAGTTTTAGGCCAGACAGGACCATTAGCCTGGCCCCTTGTGTATCACCGGCCAATAAATGTCCCTTCAAACAGCCCTATATAAGCCCCAAAATTCTAGTTACACTAAAGCATTTTGGTCCTCAGGAGACTGAAGCGTTGTGCGGCACAGGCAGAGACCAGGAAGGGACCAAAGTGCCATCCGGACCATGCCCAAGGCCCTTGCGGTGGCAGGGAACTGGCTTGGTGAGATACGCTCAGCAGGCAAACCAAGCTCCATGACCTAGAGGATGGTGAAAATTAGTAAATAACAAAACAGCCCTAGACTCGCGATAAAACCACAAGAGTTTGCAGCCCTAGGAATAGCCGCAGATAAATACCTAAATAAACAGCCGGGCTCCATTTCTTGGCAACCTAGTTTATTGAAAATAGCAGAGAAAACTGGACACTTTTCAACAACCTGTTCATTACAATGTGCATTCTGAATAATATTTTTTTTTAAACCCTTGCAAGTAAACATATAACCCTGGGCGACAAACAAACACAAAATAAAATGCACCATCAGTTTAATTAAATTAAACGAAACCTAAAACCTCTTTTTTTTTTAAAGAATGATCGCTCTATTAAAAAAAATTACAACTTTCAAATATTTACAAACCTGGCATGACAACATATTTAAATATTTAAAACAATTTTACAAAATGAAAGTATTGCAGGTTAGATGTATTAGATTATTATTGGGTTTTTTTACACTAAAAGAATGCAACCAAAAAGCAACGGTAAACTAGACCTGAATGCAAAGCGGTTAGCGGCTCGGTGAAGCAGATACCTTGGGTTGCTGGGTTAAGAGTCGGCTATGGATCAAGCTAGAAGATGGTCAGAAAGGACCTAAGGCCAGAGAGGGTCTGATTGTCTTTTACTGTGCTGGAAACAGGACTGTCCTGAGTGACGCTCTTAAAGAGGCAGATGGTTTCGAGGGTCGATCAATTTAATTCCTCTGGAATCCAGACGGCGCAAGGTTCAAAGGTGCTTAGGAAGTTGGGTGTTTGTTACAAATCTGGGGTGAACTCCCCTTAATGACCCAGGTTCTGATCTCACTTACTCCAGTTCCTCTGTGGACTTCAACAGAACTGACTCCTGAAGCACACACGCACAAGCACACACACACACGCACACACTCTGTCACACGTACGTGAGCACACGCATACACTCTCGCACACGCGTGCACAGGAGGATGTTTGCCCAGTTCTCCAATGGTGTTTAGGCGCCTAGCTCTCTTTGAAGTGCTGGGCCGAAGTACCCAAGTCCCCTTCTGAAAATGGGACTTAGCTCCTAAGTCACGGAGAACCTTTTTTTTTTGACCAAGCTGTCCCCTCAGAGCGATGTCACGCAGCGTCTATGGGGCAATGGCCTGTGAAATCAATGGGGCCAACCATGGCCTTGAAGTTAGGCATGTGCCTGCCTGATCTACTGGCTTGATCCAAGGCCGGCTGAGGTCCATGGACGGACTCCCGCCGCGGTGGCTGTACTTCCGAATCCCAGCTGTACAAACCCCCAGCTATTTTCAATCCGAATCCTTTTACTGGGTTACAAAAGCTCTTTTAGAAAAAGGCGATTTTGAACATCACTCCCCTTGTAAACAACCATCAGCTCCCACTCAGTAAAAGCCCCGTACTTAAGAAAATTAGAATCTGTTGCTTTCCAAAAATAGCCTTAACATTAAAAACCAGCCTTTTATTATATTAACTTTATACAGTATCTATATATATATCTATTTTACTATGAGTAAAAACATATTGTTGGGTTTCAAACCCTGAGAATTTCATGGGGATGAGGATTCTTTCCAGCAGGGGGCAGCAGAGTGCAATGCAAACTTTCTGGTCAATTGCTGGATATTAATAAGAAATACAAGAGCTTGGGCAAGGGGGCGGGAGGGGGGGCTGGTCCCCTGGCGCTGCAGAATAGACGTAAAGGCAAACGTTTAAAAATAGATCTCTATGTTATGTACAATTATTATTTTAAAACAGCTTGGTTAAAAAGTCTCCTGCCATAAATCTGTAAGGACACCCAAAAAAAATAAAAATAAAAATAAAAATTGAGGTATTTGAACTACCCGGGCCGGTCACTAGATTCTAGTCACTGGAGTAATATGGTGGGCAGTGTATTTTCCTTGGCCCTGAATATGTTACAGCAAAAGCTAGCGACCTCCTTGATCTCAGCCCCACTGGGGTCTCGGCTTGGGGCGTCTCCCCAGTAATACTTTGTGCCTCGGTAGCACCTGCCAGCTGAGACCCTCCAAGAGCTGCACGAGGTTATTTAAGCATCACCCCACCACCTCCATGGAGTGTGTGGGAGGGGGTCTCCCTCCCCCCTGCATTGTAGAGAGAGGAACGAGGCGCAGAGAAAGGGGCAGTGACTTGCTCAGGTTGGTGGCAGAGGCGGGCATGGAACCCAGGAGTCCTGGCTCCCAGCTGTCTGCTCTGATCACTTGCCCGCACCCCCTCCTGCACCGCAGCCCTCTGCTGTGCTGTTTGGGAGGGGATGGGAGGGAGCAGGTTCTAATTTGGTCCACCCCCCTCTCCCCCGCAACCTCCCATCCCGGGGTGGCGGGGGCGACAGACCGGCGCGAGATGGGAGTCGGTCTCTGGGCACCGGCCTCCCGCGGGGATCATTCTGCCACCGCTCCCTGGAGCTCGCACTCGGAGCTGAAGAGCTCTTTGTAGAGCGGGGGGAACACGGCGTGGACGATGATGGGGTACATCTGCCGGAAGGACCGCAGCTTCTCCACGTGCTGGTAACACAGACTGCGCAGCTTCCCTTTGGGCGGCAGCTACAGGGGAGAGAGGCACGCGGTATAAACGCAGATCTCCAGGCCCCCGCCCCTCTGCTGTGCACTCACAGACCAACAAGGCAGTCCGTCGGCAATGGGGCCTCGGGGACCCAAAGCCGCTCGGTGGGATCAGGGCAGTAACTGGTCTGGCAATGCCTGGGGCTTCTCTGAGCTCTTGTGATGTTGCTGAACATGTCTGGGGTGCGTGTGCATGTGCGTGCGTGTGCATGCGAGAGTGTGTGCATGCATGTGTGAAAGTGTGTGTGTGCATGGTGCATGTGTGCATGTGAGTGTGCGAGAGTGTATGCGTGTGGCAATGTGAGCGCATGTGCATGCATGAGTGTGCGAGTGTCTGTGCGCGCATGTGCGTGCGTGCATGTGAAAGTGTGCGTGTGCGCATGCGTGCATGGGTGCATGTGAGTGTGTGAGAGTGCATGTGTGTGACAGTGTGAGCACATGTGCGTGCACGCGAGAGTGGGCGTGCATGGGTGCGTGCAAAAGTGTGTGTGCATTTGAGTCTGCGAGAGTGTGTGCGTGACAGTGTGAGAGCGTATGTGCATGCATGCGCGTGTGCATGTGTGCGCACATGTGTGCATGCATGTGGAAGTTTGTGTTTGTGCATGGTACATGTGTGAGTGTGCAAGAGCATGTGTGTGTGACAGAATGTGACAGAGTGTGCGTGCGCATGTGCACGTGTGTGCGAGAGTATGCATGTGCTCACGTACGTGTGACAGAGTGTGTGTGTGTGTGTGTGTGTGTGTGTGCTTGTGCGTATGTGCTCTGCTGCCGGTCTGTGAGCATGATCCCATTTTTGGAACCCTCCACCTCTACCGAATATTTACATAATTACCCAGAATCCTCTAGTGAGAGTCCCTAATGTCCAACCTGAGCGTATCGTCTGCTCAGTGTAGACCTCTCCCCTCAGCCACCCAGCCCCCAATCCACATTGGACACGTGTAACCAGCGACAGCTCCAGCAGCTCAAGCCTCCCTCCCCCTCTGGCTCTGAGCGTCTCCTTCCGGCAAGGGAGCGCTGGGGGCCCACTAGCCCCAGAGACGGGGCACAGTAAAGGGACCCAGAAGCAGGCCCTCAAGTCCTTGCTCCTGGGCTTCACAACACCAGCAGCATTCGAGAGGTGCCCTACGCCGGCAGGGCGTGTGGCTTGCGACAGAGGAACCAGGTAAGGCCGTGGGGCTCGTGCACCTACCTTGGCCAGGATGCCTTCCCGGTGGGTTTTCCGTAACATGTGTTTAAAGGCCAGTTCCAGGTTATTCTGCAGCCTCTCCACCTTGCCCTTCTCCTGCAGCCACGGCCGATCTGCACGGAGACAGGAGAAGGCACTGAGCAGCATTTTCCATGGGTCTCTCTCGGCCCACGCCCGCCTCTCTTAATGAGCCAATGCTACCTGAACGACGGAGGGAGAGCATTGCCTCCCTAGAGCCCGGCGTTCTGCTGCATGACAGTTTAAGGTGCAGGATGGATGGATCTCAGCCCCCTGCGGTCAGGCCAGGCTGGCTGAGTGCTTGGGGTTATCCATGCGACCGTACACTGAAGCTGAGGATTGCAACAGCGTCTGGCCAGCCACGAACACCCCACCGTGGCAACACAGAGATTCCCGCAGAACTCTTCTGCAGTTTCAGCCCTGGGGTCCTGGCCAAATGCTAGTCAGTGGCCTCCTAATGGGATTGGAGTGACATCTCGCCCTCCATAATAACCCCGTCTAGCGCCCCTTCAGGATCTGAGCCCTGGTCCCTGAGGACGGTGGCTTGGGGTTGCATGGCCTGCAGGATGCAGCAGGCTGAGAAGGGGTGACTCTAAAGCCCCATCAGTCTCTCTCTGGTTCCATTCGCATGACCAGATGGGGAAGGAGGGGGGTGGCATTCTCAGCGCTGACTTGGAAATGGGCACCTCAGGGTGAAACCCAGACGCTTGCCCATCTGTGCTGGCAGGAGAGCAGAGGGCACCGGATTCAGGAAGGAAAAGGTTTGGGGGCAGGGGCTGGTTGAAAATGTTCTGTCGTTTTTTGATGGAAAACGGGGGTTTTGATTGCAGGAATTTTGTCATTAAAATTGTGATATTTCATTGATTTCATTCATTCATTTAATCATTTCATTGATTAAACCGACCGCTCGAAAACCAAACATTTTTTGGCCAAAAACTGAAATAATTCAATTTACAAGGGTGCCGCGGTTCCTCATGGGAGCGGTGGTTTCAGTACCTCATCCGCCTCGTCTCCTCTATGGACCAGGTTCTCTGGTTGGACTACATTTCCCATGATGCCTCCCTTCACCAAATGAGGAGAGTGTGGTGCATCATGGGAGATGTAGTCCAGCCAGAGAGTGTATAGAGGAGAATGGGAGCATGAGGCACTTGAACTACAAATCCCAGGTGGCACCTCAGTCCTAGGGATGTAAAAGGTTAACCAACCTTGACTGTTAACCCAAGCAGCCCAGCACTGGCAAGAGAAACCCCAGCCCTGGCCACGCCAGCGGGACCCCAGCCCTGGCCACACCATACCAGAGGGGCTGGTGGGACTCCAGAGCCGGAGTGAGGCCTAGCCCGAGACCCCACCGTGCCAGGCCCACCGGAGCTACCTCGGTTAATGGTTAACTGGTTAAACGATATAATTTTAATCGTTTCACTAGTGAACTTTTTAAACCGCTCTTTACATCCCTACTCAGTGCCATTATGAAGTGAAATATTTCCGGGGAGGTAGAATGGGGGAGGGGTCAAAAAGTCAACATTTCCCAGGGACCCCCGCCCCGCTATTTTCTGACCAGCTCTACTTATGTGGCTGTTTGGCAATTAACATGCGGCATCCCCACTCCCGCAATGGGGGCTGCGGCCCTAGGACTGAAGGCCAGCAGCAGCGGCAGACGCTCACTTGAGTTGATGAGCACCAGGGCGGTGAAGAGGGCGATCTCATTCTCGGAGAAGTGCAGCGAGCACAGGCTGTGAGCGAAGTCGAAGATGGAGTTGATGAGCTCGTTGCACCCTGGGAAACGGAGCAGAGCCGTCAGTCACCTGCGGCTTCCTCCCAGGCAGCCCCGCCCCCTCTCCAGCGCCACCCAGTGGCCTTCCTTTCTCACCAGCCTCCCACAGGGTCTACAGGCATCGCTGACTACGCATTGTCCCCCCTGGGATCACAGGAGAAGCCTCCACCCGCTGGGGCTGGGAGGGAAGTCTAGTCTCCAGGGCTCATATAATCCTCTGCTTCTCTTCTGAGATTGGCAACAACGGGGGTTTGCTGCGATGTGAACGCCTGGCCACCGGGAACTGGTCAGAGGCCCCCGAAGATATTATTTAATATTCCCAGAGGCTTCAGCCCAGTCAGACCCCATTTCGCTAGGCACTGCCCAGACACACAGTAACTGATGCCCGCTGGCCCAAGGAGCCTAAGCGGCCATTGGTTGGGCCTTAGCGCCCCGAGCTAGATTTGAACCAGGGACCTAGAAAGGAAACGGCTCCACGGCTTGTTGCCAACCAGTCCCTCGGATATTGGCTGGGCAAAAATCAAAGCCACCGCTCCGGATCGAACACAGCAGAGCATCATACTGGACATGACCCAGTGCAGGTGTCTTTTGGGCCCATCAGCCCCCCCATCCCGAGATTATCTCTGCAGAGACATTAGTATTAGCTGCTGGCAGAGAGACACACGTGTTTGCCAAGCAGACACATGTACTGGTGGGGCGCTGGGCACGGCCTGCCGCATTTGAATTGCAGTTACTCCTTAGTGCAGCCTCTTCCTTGAGAGAAATTTCTCACCCAGGGTTCGAAGAGAAGCAGAACAGTGAAAATTCCATTTACAATGGAGAGGAGGCTTCCCAACAGCTGGGGTAATAGAGTGAGTGAGGGGTCCCACGAGCAAGAGAGCGAGGGCGGCCTTGTGGTTAAGGCACCGGACGGGCACTCAGGGGATGGGGGTTCAAGTCCTGGCTTGGCTGCTGACACCCTGGGCAAGGTGTTTTCAAATACGCTCAGCAACCCAACAAAGGAAGCACTGCTGAAAACCTGGCTGGTTCATTTCACTACCTAAATGGAAGCAAGTGCCATCTGAAAATCTTGGTCTGTCTCTCTGGGCCTCAGTTTCCCCATCTGTTAAAAGGAGGACGACCGTGTCGCGTTAGCCTGGGAGCTCTCTGGGGCAGAGACCGTCTCTTGTGCTGTATCTGCACAAAGTGGGGCCTCTGGGCTTTACCGTAATACCGCGGATATCATACCAAGTGATTTGAAGAGCTCGGGGCCTGCATATTTGCCCTCGAAGAAGACCGTCCTGTTCTCCGAATTAAAGGTACGGCACATTCGCACCAGAACCACTTCCATGGCGCCTGCAAAAACAGAGCCGGGGGGGCGGGGAGTGAAGAAGTTGCAAATGTAAACGGACTTAGCGGAAGTCCCAACATCTCTGCCTTTATGCACGAGAGCAGGGAGGTCCAGGGAAGTAAGCTAGCCCCAGGCATGCGCCCGTTTGGGGGGTAGGGGCTGAGTGTCACAGCCTTTGAGGTTACATCTACACTGCTATCAAATGGGTGCCCGCTGCTCGGATGGGCATGGCTGAGCTAGTTTTACCCACGCTAGCATGGCTAAAAATAGCAGTGACATGACGTGGCGGCATGGGCCTGGCTAGCAATGGAAGCACATACCCAGGGACCTCCCCCACGCTGCCACAGCTTCGCTGCTGTTTAGCCCTGCTAGCTAGGTTAAAGCTGGCGCCGGGGTGCAGTCACCCCGTCTCCCCCCGACTGCAGCGCAGATGTGGCCTGAGTCACGCTGTCCCATCCAGAGCATCTGGGAAATTCGCAGGGTACGGTCCACCCCGGAGGCGCGATCGGAGACGGCGGCCATGCAGGATGTGGGCCGAACCCACGGCTCCCACCCAAGGACGCTCGTGGTTTGGAGCCCGGCACGGCAGCCCCGGTTGCACGACGGGGTCTTGCAGCAACACAGATCCAGGTGCAAACAGCCCCTGCAGGCCGGGCGCTGTGCCTCCGAATACAGAGCCTGTGGGGTCTGCTTCCCAGGGAGGCTGTTCTCACTGAGAGCTCAAGGGATGGCCTCTTTATTGATCCAGCCGGGGGAAGGGGGCATCCCTGCGGGGGCCTGGCTGCAGCAATTCCAGCCGGGTACCTGCTTTCAGAAGCACGATCTGGTCATTTTGGCACAGCTCCATGAAGCCGCCCATCCGCTTGGCAAACTCCACCACGTACTGGATGGCTTCCGTGATGCGGCAGGCACAGCGTTCCCACATCTCCTCCATGGACTGGAAGAGAGAAGGCCATGGCTGCACCACAATGTACGGCTGCAGCCCCTTGGCTCCGTCACGCCCCGTAGAGCGCAGCTGCTCCTTACCCCACCCACCAGGCCTAGTGTGGCTGCCCCAAAACCCCACGTGCCCCATGCCACATGGCATGGCTGCCCCATAACCGTGTGCCATGCCTGGTGCGGCCACCCCATGTGCCCCACCCCATGTGGAGCAAGCACCCCATAAGCCCACTTGTTGGCGAACAATCAAAGAAATGAATATTTCAATTTGGAAATACAGCCGCTGTGCCTCATGGGAGTTGTAGTCTGGGTGCCTCAGACACCCGTTCTCCTCGAGAGGCCGGACTCCCTGGTTAGACTACATCTCCCATGATGCACCACTGTCTCCCCTCTTGGCCAGGGGAGGTGGTGCATCATGGGTGTCCCTGGCCCTGGTGGAATGTGGGGGATGAAGTCTGGCCGGAGAGCCCAGACCAGAGAACAGAGGCCTGAGTCGCCGCGGGGGCATTTCTCAACCAAAATTTTCCATTTGGGGGGCATTCGTTTTTTTGATGAAAAACTGAAATTTCCCGTGAAAAGGGGGCATGTTCCTCGCAAAATGTCACTGAGTCGAAACCCCAAGTTTCTGCCCCAAACCATTTAAACGGAATATTTTCAACCAGCCCGCCCCAGTTCTTTCTGGGTTTTCATTACCCCTTTTACTGCACTTGCACCTGTGACCCCAGGAGTCCTGCCAGGGCAGTTAACCCTTTAGTCTCCTCCACAGAGGACAGAAACCCAGCGGTTGCGCATACATTATCCATTTTCCTTTCCTCTCCCCACCGGGCCCAAAGCTGGGTCTCTATTGATCCCAATGTTCCTATACCAGGGCCATTATGAATTGCTCCGAAACGACTTGGCCGCGTCTGGAAAGCTGATGAAGCATTTAGCGAACCAGACAGAAGTTCCCATTTAGTTAATGGATCTTAATTAGCTGCTGAATCAAACAAACTCATTTTCCTCCCTCTGACCCATCCCTTGATTTTATTGCAAAGTCCTCATCTGAACCCAACCGAGCGAGCAGTGACTCACCCAAAACCCTGCGCGCTGAATGAAGTCCCGATAAACAATAAAGGGGCAGCATCGGCTCTATGCGGCTGATGTTAAACCCCAAAGTGCCACAAAAGGTCAGAGACACCGCGCGCTGGGTCACTCAGTCGAGTCCCCTCTTGCAGCCGGTGCTGAGCAGACCCTGACCGCAAACTTGCTAGGGCTCCGTGCCAGCTAAGAACTCTTTGCGCTACGCTCTGCCACCGCAGTACAAGAGGAAACACCAGCAGAGGAACTGGTGTCATTTAGGAAGACAATTTACAGGCAGCCCCTATGGAAAAGTCCTCCAAAATTTAGTGAGGTCCCATAGACCTGAACAGAGGAGATTATCCATTTTTAAGCCAACCGTATAGAATTTAATATCCTTGCTAGAAAATCCTGGAGGCTGGTCTAGAACGTCTGGAGAAGAACCATCCCTCCCTTCTCTGTTTAAATCCCCCCGGGCTATTTCCAGGTGGACAGTCTGATTCTGCTCCTGGGAAAACTTGGAACAAGTTGGGCCATAAGGGACTTGCCCAAAAGCCAGAGAGTCAATCAGAGCCAAGAGTAGAACGTTGGTCGTTTCTCTCGGCCAATCCCCTAGAGACACGGCCTCCTGCCCAGTCGCCGGCCCAGCCTTAACTGGGCCACGTAACGGATCTTGTGGTGGGGAAGCCTTCCTGCTGCTCTGCCTACATTCCCCACTGATCCCTTAGCGAACCTGAAGGGAGGTGTTTATCCTAGCCTCATACCCCGGCAGGCTGGCTTCCCAGGTTATCTGGCTACCAGCTTATCCCGTGCCAGGCATCAGTCGAGCATAGAAGTCACTGCACTACCCGTGGCAGGCGTCTCCGCCAGCTCCCAGCCCCGCCCCCCACCTCACCTTCTTCTGGTAGCTCCTGACTTCCTCCCACGAGAACGTCTCCAGCCTCAGGAGCTGCAGGTCTTCCAGGCGCAGCTGGCAGGTCTCCCGGTAGGACTTGAGGACGTTTTGGGTCAGGTGCTCTGCGGACGGCAGGCGGCAAGGCTCAGAGGGGGAGCGCGGGGAACAGCGGGGCCTGTCCCTGGGCCGCAGCCCTGATTCTCCCTTCAGTTTTTTCTGTGGTTTCCTGAATCTATCGCCCTGCACTGCCAGCCTTGGCACGCAGGCCCCTGTGTGTAACGATCTGCCCCCTCCCCCCAGCCCGGCACTTAGCAGGGTTTGACTCTGCAGTGTTAAAAGCATGGGCCTCTCCTGCGTCAGTGGGGGAGTAACTCCACTAGCTGGTAGCTGCAGTAGGCTGTTATCCTCTGATATAGAGCAGGATGTTCCCAAGGACATCCCATGGACTGAAAGGGGGTTCCAAAGAGGATGGATCTAGACTGTTCTCAGTGGTAGCCGATGGCAGAACAAGGAGTAATGGTCTCAAGTTGCAGTGGGGGAAGTTTAGGTTGGATATTAGGAAAAACTTTTTCACTAGGAGGGTGGTGAAGCACTGGAATGGGTTCCCTAGGGAGGTGGTGGAATCTCCATCCTGAGAGGTTTTTAAGGCCTGGCTTGACAAAGCCCTGGCTGGGATGATTTAGTTGGTGTTGGTCCTGCTTTGAGCAGGGGGTTGGACTAGATGACCTCCTGAGGTCCCTTCCAACCCGGATATTCTCTGATTCTCTGGAATGATGGGAGCTGAGTGTAAGAACCATCATCTGAGTTGTCACCGGGGCTCGAATCCAAGGCCAAGAGAGCAAAGAGCAGCCGAAGCTAAGAGACTGGGCTTGCTGCTGACAGCTGGAGAAGACCTGTAATCCCTGCGTGGATGGTGAACCCCAGCCCCACCCCCCAGGAATACGGCCTGAGTGGGGATCCCTAGAAGGCCGAGGCTGTCCAGCCGAGCGTTCCTGCCCCAGGAGACTCACCGATCTCAGTCACCGAGGAATTGGGCGACTCCAGGAGGCTGGTGAAGTTGGGACTCGTGTAGAAGTCGACGGTCTCCCCGACGTCGCCCCCGGCCTGGCCCCGCTTGCCCCCGCCGATGTCCAGCCGGGAGAGGTCCGGCGACGCCTGCATCTCCAGGGCGTAGAAGACGCTGGCCCTGCTCTCCATCTTGATCCGCTCGGGGCTGTAGTCCCTGGCGAAGGGGCCGCGCAGGTTGTCGCTCAGCCGGCTGTGGCCCTTGGCCAGTCCGTTGGGGTAGGCCAGAACCGCTGTCTCGTCCGGAGAGTGGCTCAGCCGCGCCTGTCCGTTCAGGAGGGCCGTGGAGCAGGCGGAGGACTCCAGCAGGTCCGGGGAGGAGGCCAGCTTGAGTTGCCCGTTAGCCAGGCCCAGGGAGTAGGCCGGGGCCACCACTTCGCCGCCTTGCTGCTGCTGCTGTTGCTGCTGCTGCAGCTGCTTCTGCACCTCGGCGTGGAGGCTGTCGCGCTGCTTCTTGGACATGCGGCCGAACTTGACGGCTGGAGAACGAAAGGGCAGGGCCGAGTCGAGTCAGGGACCGACCCTGTGTTCACGGCCGGAGCCGTTGTGAGGGGCCCTGGGCTCCCTCCGCCGGGAAATCCAGGAGACATAACGGGGCAGCGGGTCCCATAAGGAGCCTGCAGCGAGCTGCCAGGGATGGAAAGGGCAGAAGGAGCTGCCCTCATTGACAGCGGTGGAGTCTGGCTCCTTGTGCCTATCAAGACCCACCGAGTTTGTCTTGTTAAGCGAGGGGCCCGGGCAGCACTTGGGTGGGATGGGGGGACACCAACCATGGTGCAGCAGGGGGGTGACTACCTAACAGGGGTGCTTTCCCCCCAACAAGTCAGTAACCAACCCCCATCGCTCCCCTCCAGCAGCAAAGCACGCCAAGCGGACAGGATGAAACCTGGATCACAAGCGAGACCAGGGCGTTTTCCCTGGAGCAGGGCTGCTGGCCGTATCCCAATTCGGGTCACTTACACTCTGCCCCGCAGTTCCAATCCCTTTCACTTCTCGCCCTAGGACAACACTGCTCTGCGGCTGCTTGAACAGCTCCCACGGCCCACCCCAGAGGTGGCTGCATTTCAGAGGTAGCCGATCACCGGGGGGCATAAAATGCTTTGGGATCCTTGAGGATGAAAGGCCCCAGAGCAGCGATTCGCAGACTTTCTGCCCCCAGAAGCTCCCACCTTGGCAGCTTCTCCCTCCCCTCCAGCAATCTGGGGAAGGCAGGGGGAGCGACTCCCAGCCTGAGATCCCTCACGCTAGAGAAGCGCCCAGGCTCTAGGGCAGGGGACGGCTATCTCAGGATCTCGGCGCACTCACTTGGGAGCAGGGACAATGGTGCGTGCTCTGCGGGTGGTCATGTGGTCTGTATGTGGTCGCGTGCCTGAGCAGAAGCCTCATCTACCCAGCTGCAGAGAGGAACCGCGGTCGCAGCGGGCGGCTGATCGCATGTGCCACGTGGTCGGGCTCTTTGGCTCTCTCGAGCGACCTACATACTCACCACCGAGAGAAACCCAGCTAAAGGCTTGAGCTACTTTTTCCATCCTCTTTGGATTGGGTTGGTGGGGGGGGGTGTTTGTGTGACTTTCACTCTCCTCCTGGTTGGTTTAACCCCCCTGCCTCCCCCGCTGCCTGGCTCAGGGCTGTGCGCTGACGGTGCTACCTAACCAGCCTGAACCCTCGCTATCTGCACTTCTCTTTCACTTCCTTCAGCCTCCGCTTGTAGCTTTTTTAGCACCTTTAATAATCCCCAGCCCGAGGACTCCTCCTCTGCTAAGAAATCTGGTGTCGAACCTTTTTATGCCCAGGGGGCGGAAGAGAATGAAGGTTCGACCCCTCTCTGGGCTGGAAAGGGGGGCGGTTCCCCTGCTCCTGTACGCCGCTCTGCTGGCGGTCAGAGGCCTTTGCAGCCCGCAAAGGGCTGAGGGGGGGATTCTGCAGGCTCCGGCGCTGCGCTGGACTGCCATTGGCTGCCTTCCGCAGACCCCGCCCCCACTTCAAGCCTTGGCGTAGGGGGCATGCTGGGGGCGGGGCCAGAGCACATGCAGCTATGGCTAAGTTGCCCTGTGCCACAGGTAGCACTGCAGAAGCGGCTTTAACTTAGAGATAGTTTGGCCCACTGGTTCGGGTGCTAACCTCTGACTCATAACACCTGGGTTCAATGCCCTGCTTTTCTACAGACTGTAGCAAGGTATGTCTGTCCGAGCCTCAGTTTCCCCATCTGCACAACAGGGATAATAGCACAGACCTAGAGGCCAGCGAGGCTGCTCCAAGTTACACTGGGAGGTGCAGCACAGAAGGAAGAGGGTGGGCACCTGGGCTGCAGGTTCTCATCAGCACCTGCAGGGGGTGCAACTTAGACTCTCACCCACTGACCCTCTTGAACTGGAGGACTTGGGAACCAGTGGCTGCTGTTTGTCCATCATCATGGATTTTCGGTGATGAATGGCTTGTGGGCAAAGAGAAACATTGCTACTTTTCCAATGCCATTTTTCAGTTTTTTCAACCAAAAACGGAACAATTTTTGGTCAAGAACTGAACATTTTTGGTTAAAATGTTTTACTTTCAACAAAAAATGGTGGTTTTTTTTCTTTAACTGAAAACATTTAAACCCCCTCCCCCCAAAAAAACAAAACAGTTTTTAGTTTTTTGTTGAAAACCCCCAAAAGCAGCTGGTACCAGCCCCTGTCAGAGATGAGAGACTGGGTTAGATGGAGTAAAGGGCAGAAGCAAAATAAATCTCCATATTTTTACAGTCAGAGCCAGGTATTTTTAACATCAGGGCATAAGAAATGAGTCAAATGCAGGGACCTCTGGGGTGGGAGGCAGCAGCTGTTTTAAGAGATCCTTCACTCAGCACTGAAATGCAGCCACTTCTGGGTTGGAGCGTGGCAGCTGTTTAAACAGGGATCCTTCCCCCAGCACTGAAATGCAGCCACCTCTGGGTTGGAGCGTGGCAGCTGTTTAAACAGGGATCCTTCCCCCAGCACTGAAATGCAACCACCTCTGCGTTGGAGCGTGGCAGCTGTTTAAACAGGGATCCCTCACCCAGCACTGAAATGCAGCCACCTCTGGGTTGGAGCGTGGCAGCTGTTTAAACAGGGATCCCTCACCCAGCACTGAAATGCAGCCACCTCTGGGTTGGAGCGTGGCAGCTGTTTAAACAGGGA